TAGTGATCGAGTTGCCTAGGAAAATAGTTGTCGTGTGTACCTAAGTATTTATACGTATGTAAATGCACGTGTATTTCATATGCACATTAATGCATATATATATATATATATATATATATTCTACCATATACATATATATATATATATTTACAAATATATATCATACAAGCACATAAATACATATAAATACATATATATATATACGTGTACATAGACATTTATATGTATAGATAAGCATAGATGGGTTTGATCATACACGCGTCTATTTCATAGCAAGCAACTAGGAGCTTCTGATCCAAGCATTATTGGACATCTCTGAAAGGTTATCCTCGATATATATCGAAGCTCTTATTAAACCATCCAGATTGGGGACGTCGATGACTCTCCCGATTTATTCGTCGAATTAGAATCACCAGACGACACAACAAGTCTCTTCTATATCTTAACCTGCCTTTAATATTTCTCTACCGATCGCTAAAACGGATAAAACTTTACGGTCCTCTCCCCACCCCACCCCACCCCACCCTCATTTATTTAAGACATACGTTAGATAGAAAAGTATTGGTTGTAAAGAAGATATATATTATATTTATGTCTAATAAGAAATATTATGGAAAATTTAAACGACGACGTGAAGAAGAAGACGAGGAAAATATGAAAGAAAGAAAAAATAACAAAATATTTGTATCTTGATTTATATATATATTAATTTATATAATCAATAATTGCATCAACACGAATAAAAATATCATACGATTAAATTGATGGTAAATAAATGTAAGATACAAATGATTGAAAAGAATAGATATATATTTTTGGGAATCGATCCTATATATCAGTGTGATCTTGATCTGTTTCTCGACGCACCTTTTCTTACCCAAAGACTACCACGAAAAACTCTATCCTATTCTTTTCCTTCTTACTTTTCTATTTTTCTTTCATGTCGGAACACCATTAGACGCGTTTTAGGAAACTTCGAACCATTTAGGTTTCCCTTTTTTTACACAAAACCCGAAAGTAACGGTCAAAGGGTGGGCAACCTCCCCCCCGCAGTCCTCCAAAAAAAAATAGGAAGAGAAAGAGAAAGAGAAAGAACAATTGAAGAAGCACTTACTTTACTCTTACTATTGTTCAAACTTTAGCTGCAATCCTATCGTAGCTTTCTTAGAAATCGATTTCACTATTTTCCGATCGAAATAACTAAAAGTACATTTAAGTTATCGAATCCTAAGAATCAAATCGTGTGAAATATATATCGTAGGTAAGCGAACGGCAAAGAAAAAGAACTCCCACCCCCTCCCCTCCGTTCTTCCTCCTTTTTTTCTCTATCACCCCCTCCACCCTTCTAAAAGACAAAAAGGGCTCAATGACGAAATTATCAAATTCTTCCTCGTTCCTTCAGTTCTAAACGTAATGATGAGAAAAATTGCGATCGTGAAGGGGTGACTCGAATATTATTTCTTACTTCCAGTTCAAGTTCCGTTCTATCTATCTCTCTCTCTCTCTCTCTCTCTCTAAGTGGAATGTCTTAATTGAATTTAATATACCTCACTCTCTCATTCTCTCACTCACTCTCTCTCTCTCTCTCTTATTCTCTTTCTATTTTTCTTTCTCTATTTCTCTATTTCTTATTATTTTACATCTTGACGCAAACCATTCAAAAATCATGATAAAAATGTACACCTCTCTGCATGACTAATGACACTTTAACTTATATTACAGGATATTTCGATTAATTAATAATTATTTGAATATTCTAACACACTCTACTTATATTTCAGATTATTTAGACACATATATGTACTAATATAAGTATTACATACTTATTAACATACTTTAAATATTAAATGATTTCGATATGATAAGTCACCACTGCAGAGAAACGTTAAAACAAATATATTTTATGTTATATATATTTGTGAATGATCTCTTTTTTTATTATTATTATTGATTTAATATCAAATAATTTGTAGATAGAGAAAAAAACGTTGCATAAGATATGCATTTAATAAAAATAAATAATAATGCACGTCATAAAGGATTTTGACTTCGTTACACATTAGCAATAATTAATCAATTAGAATATAATTATTATTAAATGTTAGAAAAGAGTTTTCAAAGTGTTATACTTAAGATTGTTTTACATCATTTTTATTGTTTTACAATTTCTTTTTTTTTTCTTTTCTTTTTATTTACGATCAAATATTTTGCAAGTATATAGAAAAAAAAAGAAAAGAAACGTTGCATAAGGAAAACTACGATAAAATCAATAAATACATGCAATATATAATTAAAATAAGATGTACGTCATTCAACATATTATATACAATTACACCCACGCGTTCGAGGGATTTCAATGCGGGGCACAACTCTGAACGGTGGTTCAAATTAAGATTGGATCTTTTGCTGCTACTAAAAAATAACGATACACGTATTTCTTTCGTTATCGTTTGCATATAACGATATGCATAAACTAAAATATTTACAGGGTGTTTCATATATGCATAATAATACTTCGAGGAGTGTAATCAACAAACTGAAACGAGTAAGAAAATTATGATTACGCACATATAAGCGTGTGTTCGATACAACAAACAATATTTTTATATCATTTATGATCATTCCTACGATTGAATAAAAATATTCTTACAAAAATGTTATTTATTTGTATTTAGATTGATTATTTCATTTAATATCATCCCCTAATTCCTTGTAACACTCGTTCTGAAACACCTTGTATACATTTACTGTATTTACACTCGACAAACTTGAAATAAAATAAAACACAACCGTCTCATTTTCAGCGTTAACCCGATAATTTTCCATTCCCATTGGAAATTCATATTTTAAGTGGCTCGTTAAAAAGTCACGATCGAATTCAATGAATTTACCTTTCATACACAGTTTCTACAATTTAAAATATTTTTATCATGGTCGTTGTTATTTTCTTTCAATCCACGTCATCGTGCCCCTTCTATTACTTTGAATATTATACTTTGAAACATAATTAAATAGGTAATACGAATTTTTTCAATGATTTTTCCGTATCCCCTCCTGAAATGGGTTCCACATATTTAAAAAACATCTTATTATAACAATAATAATAATAATATTTATAAAACATAATCTACAATATTTAAATGCATATAAATTAAATTTAAAAAATCTCTCAAACACATATATATAAATTGTCTCTCTACGTATATATACCTATCTTTTGACATAGTTTATTCTAAAGACAAAAAGGAAAAGACACTTTCTTCAAAGAATGTAAATGTACGTATGTTTTCCCTTATCTAATAACAAAAACTAAGAGAACGAACATCACGAAAGGTATGCATCTCCATTCGAACCGAGAACTTCCAACGACATTATTTTCTAACTCGGTACGTGCATTCTTCTTCCTATTCTCTCAATAAACCCACCATAAAAGACTAAGAATAATTCTTTTCACGTTTTATATACTATTTTCAAAATATCTTTCTAATTTCATATACTTTCATACAGTGGTCTACTAATAATATCTTTAAAATATTTTAATCGTTATAAAAGATTGATCAAAACAATATCGGTTGAATTGAATTAATTATATAGACAACACATATATTTTGTACGAATAATAAAAATTGTATTATAATATCGAAAAGCACATTATTGATAATAATGATAGAAATCCTTTGACGAGTATACACTTGAATATGGTGTGTTAAATCGATTAATTAAATATTAAATAAAGTTTAATGAATCGTGTAAATAATTTCATGAAATATTTATTTCCGAAATTTCGGATACAATTTCTTTTAGAATTCAAAGAGCATCATTCTGCCTTTTGTCAAAGAGATTCGTTATTATTATCAATGGGGAAAATGAAATTCTCTAGTGTATTCTCCTTGCGTTGACGATAAGGACGCCATAGAGTTGACAAATGAGCGCTTGTGTTATCGGTGACATGTTATAGGAACGTCTAATCCAGTGTTTACCAACCATTTTTTATTTTTCTTTTCAATCCTACCCTATTTAAAAATATCTAATTAATTGAAATACTAATATAAATAATAATTATAACATACAAATTTTAAGTATTACATTTGATTGTTTCTGTTTTATTGTAGAAATAGATTTCTTTTCTTTTTCATTTAGTACTAATTAAATTATTTTCATCGTAAAACCATCTTTCACAAAGTACAAAAGTAAATGTTCGAATAATAATAATGAATGAATATAAAGAAAAGGATAAATGAAAATGGAAATCGATGTTAAGAGGAATGATGATAATATTAACGTACGAGTTATCTTAATCTTTAAGGAAATGAAACTGGAAATAGTTAACGTACTTTCTTTAAGCAAATTCATTTCGACAGGTTGAGCAAAAGGCAGAAGTTTAACAAAATTGTAAAACTTTTGGATATCTCAAGTGAAGAAAAAAATAGCTATATAAAGAAAACTATTAGAGTACTTAGATAATTAGTATGATATAAAACAGCATGACAATCAATTTGGTTTAATAACTTAACGAATTTTAATACAATCTAGGAAAGTAGTACGAGTAGAAAGTTCTTCTTAAATGATACGAAGAAGACTAACATAATCCAGGCTCTCTCGTATTTCTCTTTGGTTTTAATTATAAATATTATTAATAAAAATATATTCAAAGTGTGTGTACGAATTTTGTAAACAAGTTAATATTTAAAAAGTATATATAACACATCGTCATAATTAATATTATTCAGAAATAAAATAAGATTGTCTACAAATACGTAAGAAAAAAATTAACGATTTAGTTTAACAGAGAGTATTGCCGAATAAAAATTCTAACAAACGATCGACTTAAATAACACCACCAATGAAAAATTTCATCGATATATAAATAAATGAAAATAATCCTGAATAATTATAATAATAATAATAATAATAAAAAGAAATCTTTTAGCGAATGTGTAATATATAACGATTTATCAAACTTATAATTATTATAAAAAATAAAAAATATAAGAACGTACCATTAGGAACTTGACTTTGTTAACCAAAGGGGATGTCGTAAGGAACTTTTTCACTGCCGTGAACATTTTGCTCTCCAAAATGGCAGCGCTTTCGGCGTCTTGTCCGTGCGAACATCCGGCTCCGACGTCGGGCAACAACGGACAACGTCCCCCGATTCTGGGCAACAACTTTCCTCAATTTCCGAATAAACACCCCCTTTTCTTCCTACTTTATTTTCTTCTTATTATCGTCGACCAATCGAAAATTCGCACAATATAATTTACAAAGATTACGATTCAAATTCCTAATCTTTTTTAATTCTAAATTTGCATTTAAATACAACAAACTCAATGAATTACAAAACAAATTTACAATGGAAAACTAATGCCCTCCTCTCTATCGTATATATCTATTTCTTATTTTTAACTTTTAACTTTCTCTTTACTTTTTTACATACGAACGATAATAATTAAATGACAATGTAAACGTTAACATTCAAATGAATTTTATAATATTCAAATGAAATTTATTCGAATTAAAACTCCCGATCTATAGGATGGTAACGATGATCCAAAAGATGTTCGTTATCTATCGGAATGTAACAATTGTTCGATTAAACAATTTTAATAATATGATCGTATAACAAATATCTTTTTCCTATTTGTTTTATTTTGACAACATTCGTTTTTTCGTTAATTCCTTTGATCGACAATTAATGATCGACGTAGTAGAATCGTTAGGAAGCCTTGACCTCGTTCAGAGGGTTCCCCTCAAGGTCCCGACGGTATCGCGTTCTCGAGGTAGACTGAAGTCTGGAACAGCTCAACAACGGACGCTGCCGGTTGCTCCAGAGGCCGAAGAACGCGCGCGCCAGAGAAACGCGCGACGCGTTCGAAAGAGGGAGAACAGAAGAAGAATGGGGGAGGAAAAGGGGGAGAGAGGGTACTGGAGAGGGTGCTGGAGAGGGTGCTGGAGAGGGTGCTGCAAAGGGAGAGGGTTTTACAACAGAGGGAGAAACCTACAAAAACGGGGGAGGGGGTGGAAGGAAAGAGAAGTGAAAGAGGGTTGGTAGGGGCTTGGAATGGGGGGTGGGGTTGTTGGTAATGGTGGCTGGCATTCGATTGGGTATAGGGGCTAAAGAAGGAAAGGGAGAGGGAATAGTAAAGGAAAACGCGAGTTTATCGAAAGATACAACGGGAACGGGAACGGGAACGGGAAAAGAAAGTTGACTGAAGTCGAGCCCGAGTGGTGGTATTTCGACCACCAGTAGTACCACCACTAGTTGCTGCTTGGTTTAGCCTTGCACGAACAATGCCCGAGACCTAGCCATTGATTAAGTTCAAATACGTTCGTTAGTGATCCGCGGAATCCTAAGGGCCGATGTTAACAAGGAATCTTCTATGGAAACCAAACGAGAATTACAATTGGAAGTTGTATATGATTGGGGGAGGGGGATAAATGAATATTCCACGAGATAGTGTGGAAAATGTATATGATTTTCTCGATGGAATACCTAACGAAGGATATTTAGATAGGTACGAAAATTTATATTGATCATAACAAACGATCAAATGAAGAGTATTAATGAAATCATTTTTCTTTTTTATTTCAAACATATCTGTATATTTGTGTATACGTTAGATTGGATTTAAACGGTGTAGGTATAAAATTACGCGACGTTATTTAATTACATGTTATTGTATCTATCGGATAAAGTATTGTAATTTATGATCTATGAAAATAAACAAAATATAAAACACTCGTCGTACTCGTTAAAAAAATGTTCGCAGCGATTGCTTATTAAAAAGAATCTGAAATTCGTGGTTAACCCTCGTGTGTTTAACAAAAAATCGTTAACATTTTATCTCGCATTCCTGTCTTCCTCCCTCCTTTTACATTCTCTTCTTTTTAGTTTAATATTTTTTTTTTGTTAAGGGTAAAAGTTTCAAACGGCCGCTCTATGTCGAGTTAACGTCCTCGTTCGTATTTTTCGCAGTTTTTGAAAAAAAATAACATCGCTCAAAGCTATTCGTGAATAAATCATGTTACAGGCAACAGTAAAGCAGATTACAAAGGTATCACCGTACGCGCGAATGCTCTTGTTCTTTGAACTGATGTATACTTTGAAATCGCACCGTTAAAAATACCAATTTCAAATAATCCTTTATCACGATTCCATTATTGTGAATTTCATGAGCTCTTACTACGAATCTCATAAGGTTTTTAACAATTTTATTAATAATCCCATAGAGAGAGAGAGAGAGAGAGTAACTTTTAATCAAATTTCGGCTCATCGCGCGAGAAAGGGGGAACATTTTTACGACCTTTTACCATCCTTAAAATCCATGTATCATTAACTCTAAACTGTTAAAATATCAAGATAATGACGAAAAATGTGCTTGTAATGATGGTGTGTATGCGTGCGTGTGCGTGTGTCTGTGCACGCGCGAGAACGACTTTTTTAAAGTATCCATTAAATTATGTCTCGAATATATAATAAGCAATATATTAAACTCAGCATATTCGTAATGTTTGAAAACTCGATCAGTAAAAAGGAAAGTCTTACGTTACAGTAAAAGCACCTGACATCTGAAAATTATACGATTGAATTACTATGAACATTTTCGATAAATATCTATGCTAGTATGTAAGTTTACTACCTTACATTTACCGCGAACGATAAAAAAGTATTCGTACGTTATCATAAAATCAATTACAATCTTAAACAACTACAATACTATCTGCATCATGTAACGTTGGTAAGCAAGTTATCCAATATTTATCACGGATGTTAAAACAGAGCTCAATATTGCAGAAAATGATAAAATAAACTTCTCGATAATAGGAAGAAGGAAAAAAAAAAATAGAAAAAAAAATTGGATATAAAATATTCCCCAAAAAATAATTGATTTATTTAAAATACAACTATATGTAATTCTAAAATATATTTTCAGATACAGCACGATATTTTTCTATCTCGTTACACAAATACCCTGCTCATTGCGATATTTATATTTCTATATTCTTCTGTATGCATCTTATACTTTATAGCACGATATGGTTTCGAAGTTTTCATTTCATTCATATTCTATAATCTCTAAATGTAACATCACAGATACAGGTATTCTTACTGCACGCTATCGCCTTTCTTTAATAATAATTGGTACAATCAGAACTCAGTACTTAAGATTTGTACTGTATTCATCCTTGCACGATACCGTGCTAAGGCATCTCAATAACATTAGCTATACATACAAATATATATATATATATATATATATATTTATATATATATAACTTCTTTATGCATAATTTTTTCGTTAATCTAAAATATGAGGTATAAGATCGACAAGTATTCATTTCACTTGATGAGAATAAATTTTTTCGAATAAAAATAAAAATAAAAATAAAAAGAAAGCCATGTTCATCGTCGATTATTTATTATCCGGGGGACGTAATGCCATAGCTAATACCTGCTGCATTTGTATCCTAACGTCCAACTTTTTCTCTTCCGGTATTTGCCTGATGGTAGGTAGCAAAGACAATAAAAACATTTTGTCGTAATCTTCCTCATCGATTGTTACATGTTGGCCGCTATGTGACGGTAGGATATCATGACTCTCATTATCAAAGGACGCAAAAGATGTTTCGTATAATTGCTTCGGATAACGTGGACACATTTTGAAAGATGCATTAGTCTGCACGTATTCTCTTCCAGTTGTTAAAGATGGAACTGCGTGGGCTAATGGAACGTCGGATTCCTCTATCACCGGATTATCCCCTTCCCCTTCCCCTTCGCTTTTCTCAGATTTGCATTGATTTCCTGCTGTGCTCATAATCCTACGAAATACATCAAATGTCCTGTTTTTTCTTTTACGAGCAAAAAAAGAAATGGAATTAATATCGACTACGGGTAAGATAATATAATCTTACACATTTGTTTGAATATCAAAATCACAATAATACAAATTGTCGAATATTCAAATCAATAATAACAAATTATTTCAAAGAACATTTTTGTTACATACGATGTATAATAATACAGATATAGATCAAAATCAGTACCGTAGCTTGTTCTCAACGATGGGCATGAGAAAAAGCAGTTGGTCGTAGTAGATATACTTTTTCCGCTTCCGGCGTACCGAGTCCGGTTGAAGAGATATCTGCAGCTGCAGTTTGAACTCTTTCATGAAATAGTCCCGTATATTTCTCCACTTCCCTCTCAAGCTCTTTTCTAAAAAAAGAGTGTATATATATATATGTGTGTGTAAGTTTGGGGATAAATCCAAACTGTAAGGCGACTCGCTAGGGGGAGCCGCTCGACACTCAGAACAAGCTCAAGTTGCCCGGCCGGTGGCACTTCAGAGTCGTAACTACGTGAGACGAGAAGTAAACTCGTACAGATCTTATTGTTATTATCTATTTGTAATATGTATATTATGTATGCACATAGAAAAATCATATATACATATATACACGTAAAAATATAAATATATACACGTCAAATATACATCATTTGGGAAAGAAAGAAAAAAAATGAAAGGGTAGCGCGAAACGCAAAATCTTTCAAACGTGAAAAAGAAATGGAATTAAAAAAAAATAAACGCGGCGACAATAAAATGAAATTCGAATATCCAATAAGTAAACTGAAACAGTTGTTGATACTAAAAATATCCGATAACTTGATTAATGAGGAGAATTAATGAAAAAAATGATAAGAAAAAAGAAAAAGAAACTGGAAATGCAATTAGTATGAATAATTTGGTCGTGTTGGAGAGGAATCCGGATCGATCGATCATTTAACACGACGATGATAACGTGAATACTTTGTATCTATACCTTCCATATTTCTCTCCTCGTCGGACAACCGCCACCAGTTTGGTACCATCACCTGAAAAACCTCTTCCCACGCGCTCATCTTGGCGTTACGGTCGTTGTACTCGCTACGATTCGTATCGTAGATCGCCGGCCTTTTCTCGATCTCTTTAATAAATTTTTCGGTGTCGAACATATTTTCAAATATTTATCTCCGTACTTAATGTATATCTCTATCTCTCCATCTCTCTCTCTTTCTCCCACTCTCGCTTCCTCTCTCTCTTATTCTTCGTAACTCTATCCCCTCTCTTGGTAAATCGTTCCAAACGATCATCAAATTCAAAAGTTTCGATCTTACTGTATGTATTGAAATTCGAACGAATGAAAAAAAATTACGTATGTACGAAATAAATTTGATTAAAAATTCCAACTCGAAAAACAAATCGGGAGAAATCGATCGACGATGTGTTATTAAAGAAAAAAATACGCGACGAAAAGAAATGATATATTTATAAACAACAACGGCCGATTTGAAAGATAAATAATAAACGATGGGTCTCGACGAAGAAGAAAAATTAAAAAGAAGCGACGAAGAAAAAAAGGAAAAATTCTTGATAGAATGAAATATAATAATGACGTAGAAAACGCGTACCGCAAATGGCGTAAAATTGTTGCTACGTTGACGGCAGCTTGCGCGTCACTGCGGAGAAACCGTTGCATGGCGTATTTCGTTTGGCATCATGGCGGCTAGCAGCAGGCGGGTGTGCGGTTGCGGTTGCGGAGCGGAATCTATGCCGCCGCCAATGGCATCGCAGCCGCCGCCGATGCTACATAGCGATGTTGCCAAATCTCCGATGACCTATACCCGGTATAAAAACCGACAAAACGGCTACGTGTATTAATTACGTTTTTTAATTATTACTATACCTTTTTTTTTTTTCTTACTCGACTTTACACTACTTGCCCTACTCCAAATCATTGTACATGTGCGCACGTTTCTTCCTATCTATATAGAGTATTTTATTAACAATAGAGTTACATGTTTCTTGATAATATGTATGTATATCTTATGTTTACATTTATCGGATCATTCATTTACAATACATGCATCCATATAAATATATAATTTGTGTATATCTATGTTATTGGTAGTAAAACAACAATCGCGGAATTTGCACTGATCAAGTTACTTTCAACCATTGTGTACATATATACATAAGTAGTACATATATGTACGCTGATAACATCCGGTGATCGGTACGGGCTCTCGAACTCGTCTTCTTGGCATTTCGTGGACGAAAATACGTGCCGCTGCCACGTCGGCCCGTTTTAAACCGCGTCGTTGTTATCGACCGTTACGTGCCTTCTTCTAGTTATCACAGAATTGACGCAGAACGCCGGTAGTCCAACAACAATACCCACTTGTCCTATGCGGAATACAATACTTAATCATTTTCAACCATATTTTTATATTTCACCCATCAAATCTTACTTTATTTACACTGTAAACAGCTTACATATCTTTCATTTGCATAATAAATAAATTATAGTATTTTTTTGCAAAATTTCATTTACATTTTCATCAAGGCAATTGATAAAAAAATCTTATTACCTTCTTTATATAACTGAATCTTTAAATATTTATGCTAAAATTACAACATTATTGCAGAATACAGGTGAACCATGTACCATCAATGGCCGCTTGTCCTATAAGACACATAAAATGTTCAATTATTTTCAATTACATGTTTTTATGATTCACTCATCAAATCGTGTTTATTCTAGTTCTATTCTAAACACCTTTCATATCCTTCATGAACATGATAAATGCATTACAGTACTTTTCGCAAGAATGTAATTTACCTTGACATCAGTACAATTGACGAAAGATCTCATTAACGTCTTCATAAGTTCTAATCGTCGAATACTTACGCTTAAGATCGCGTGTCTTAAGTATTCCGTGCAAGGAAGTTGATTTAAGATCAAAAATGATCGTCAAACATGCAACCATTATCCTTGAGAAATTTTGTTTTTATTAAAATTTACGCATTTTTACGTAACCGTTGACAAATAATTCGTTATTATTCATAAACGTTCGAGTGCACTTTTTATAAATGCATCGTATGTACTCGAAAGAACTCCGCCAATAATCATCGTCGATTGAATTATTTAAACTTTGGAGGGATTGGTCAATAAAGCACGCGCCAGATTTCAACGGCCAATGAGAATGAAGTTTTCGTGTGGCGCGAGTAATTCTTCTCGCGTATCGTAGAATGCGTTATAGAAACGATACGAAATTGCGTAGGTAGGGGAACAGAGAACGGATAGTAATAATTACGGAACAAACGCATATGTGAAGTTCCTTGTTACTGCATCTCCGTTCCAACAATCCATTAAGATGATCGTAATGTGATTGGTCATACAAAATGCAGGAAAATTATTTGAATCTATTATGTTCAAAAGGAAAACGAAATTCATTCTTTTTCTCTCTTTCTCTCTCTTCCACTTCTATTATATTTTTACAGGGGATTGTATCAATAAATAATTTTATTCAAATATGCCCGCCTTCTTGAAATGAATAAACAATTAATAAATTAAAGTAATAATAGTCTTTTAACATTATGTTCCCATCGGAAAGAAAAATATACAAGTATAATACACTATATTGCAATGCATAGTAATTGAAAACCTATGAGAATAGATAGTATTACGTTCGTGCATATTATCAAATGCACGAGGTGTTTTAATTTCTATATCTTATCGGATTTAAACGCGTTGTAATCATAATAACAGATAAAAAAAAGATATAACTATTGCCCCATACGTTAGACGCCAGAAAGTAAACTTAACCGATAGGATGAATTACGGAAGTAACTGTTACAAAAATTATTGTAACGCTTGTAGGGTGATAATGAAAGGAGGTAGAAAAGGCAAGGTGGTACAACCGTAAAATGAAGAGAGGGGCGTACCCCAAATACTACGAAAATAGGGAAGAGATAGAGGAAAAGAAACAGAACAAGAAAAAAGAGAAGGAAAGTGAGTTGGAGAGGAAAAAAAAACTAATGGGGAATGAGAAAGAGAGAAGAAGAATGAAAGGTATAAAATGAGCGTGATGAAAAGAATATTATTTTGTTATGTAGGAGTTTCGCGAGTGTGAGAACGAAAAGAAGAGAGAGAGGGGGAGAGAATTTGAAATCATTTAAAGAAGAAAGAAAGAGAGAAAGCAATTTCAAGGCAGGATACGAATCATAATGAAAGAAAAAGAAAGAGAGAGAGAGAGTGAGAGGGAGGTGGATATTTGGTGGGAGGGGATATTCGGTTTAGGGAAAGAAGAGGCGAAGGGTGTAGAGGGAAATAGGGTGGTTAAGAGGGGAGAAAGAGACGAAGTGAGAGAGAGAAAGAGAAAGAGAGGGATAGAAAGAGACACAGGATACGTCGTCGTAGTCAGCCGTAGTCGTTAGTCAGAACACGGTTTATCCTCCGTGGCAGTGGGTTCGTATCTTTAGCCTTCGATCCAATCTAACATCGTTTATTCCATTTATTCGTCTACCGTCCAGGAAAGAGAAAACATCTCAGATTATATATCCACCCTGCGGTGTAACACGAGTGAGGTCCTGTCCTTCTTTACCCTATTTTTGTTACGCGGTTTTGTTGGAAGCTCCTAGTTGTTGCTGAGAGAGGAGAGTATCGATCGCTCATCATGCCGGTTGAGGATTTTCTCGGAAAAAAATACAAGCTATCCAACAGCGAGAACTTCGATGATTTTATGAAAGCTCTTGGTACGTATATATAATATAATTATTTATTTATTTATTTATAATTTATTTAATTTTATATATTTATAAAAATTATTGTGTGAATTCTTTTTTGGGGAGAATTCATTCTATTTGATTTCTGTTAACATTACTACTCTGATTTCTTATACAGCTTGTTTTTATTATAATGTATATGTGATTTTGGAAAAAAGGGAAGGGAAGAAGAATATTAATCGATAAAGTTAATTTTTTGATAATACAATGACGTAATGAACATTTTGTTAAATATAAAATCATCAATTTTTTGACCTAAATATTATATATGTAAGTAACTTTGAAAATGGATCGGAAAAGGGGAAGATAAATCAATAAATATTTGGTTCTTTTATTGAAGTTAAACTGATGGAATATTTTTTAAAAATAGAAATCATTGATTTAAGTAATTTTTATATAAGTAAAATCTTTGGCCTGGATATAGTTTACATATGTAACTTACAATTAGAAAAAAAGGGAGTAAGAGAGAGAGAGGGAGAGAGAGAGAGAGAGAGAGGGGATGACAAATCGATAATTTAAATTCTTTAGTTATTCCGATATGAGAGAGAATAATAAATATAAATAATATCATATAAATATTAAAAAAATAAAAAAATTGTCTCTTTTAAATACACGTATAATAAATTTGAATTATTTTTAAATCAATTATTTTGAATAATTTGATAGTTCTAGTCCTATATTATTACATCTTGACTTTCTACAAAATTAAACATCATTTGATATATCGTTAAAAAAAAAGAAATTAATAATTAAAAATTCGATTACATAATTAAAAGTAAACAAACGATCTCGAATATTCAGCATTAAATTACTCGATCGTATGTATTACGAATACATTTTATCTTATTGGAAAAAAAAAATTGATGAAAATAAGAAAAAAATAAAAATTACATTCTATATATGGCGTTTGTAAATTCTAGATGTTTACGCAGGGAAGATATTTAATGTCGCAACAATTGATACTCTCTGTTAATGGTGTAAGATAAACCGCAAGGTAGAGTAATACTAACATCGTACTTCTTATTCCTATGCAAACTTTATCTATTATTAAAGATAATAATTCATATATGTACGTGTATTTCCAAAGAGTTTTTACCTTCCCAGTTCAAGATCATTACAATGATACATTTTTATTTATTTTTTTCTTTCTCATATTTAATAACATCTTGTATGTATTGATGGATTCAATAAAAACCGGTATCTCACATAACTCCTTTCCTATAAGTAGTCATTTAAAATGCAATTTTTAAATCGATTATGTACCATTTGAATTTTTATCGTTTTGGATAAAAAAATTCCTGCGAAGGTGAAACAAATTCTTTATTTTTCTTTTTTTTTTTTTCATATTTTATATCTGGCTCTCTCTAATCTTATTTGGGCGAAAATAATGTATATATTTAAAAAACAATTTTATATCATTTTATATCATGCATATTTACTATTTTTTTCTTATCGTATCAGCTTAAGGTCATATTAAAAATGTCACCAAATTGATGACAAAATGAAATGTAAAAAAATATTTGAAATATGCATTATAATTTTTAAAAATAACTCTTAATATCTATAAAAACAAAAAAAGAAAAAAAAGAGAAATAATAAGATGTAAATAACTTGTATTTATTGGATGCGTCAAGTTTTAAAAAACGTTTGCTGAGATAACCACAATGATAGTGATGAATTATTATATATTTATAATTAAATAATAATTCCTATTTAGTCTCCTGTTTTTTTTTTATGTTACATTGTCGAATAAAAAGATAAATCGTATGGATAGATAACATAATCGTATAGTCAACCATTCTAATCGAAAGAACAAAAGTGTTTAAATATTAGAACAATCACTTTTTTAATCCTAAACTTCATTTGTTTTTACTTAATTGCGATTGTTACAGCGCACATATTTATAGCAACATGATCATAAATTATAATAAAAATGCATTCAATCTCAAATAGAAGAAATAATGAATAGTTTTTAATCATGAATGTGTATGCATGCGTGTGTATACTACATATGTAGAATTGTATTTATGAGATAGAATAAAGCATTAAACATAACAATTATAATAATTAGCAATAATATTGTAGCGAAAACAGATTTTATATACCTTAAAGTTTTAATTAATTTATCTTATCTTTTTATTCGACATATATAATTAATAATAAAACTACTAGCAAAAATCTGAAATTATTAATCTTTTAAATTATACAAGTTATGACAAAACAATTAAATAATACGATAATTAGTTTGTTCTCAATGTATTTTTTTATTGATAATATTAATCAAATTAATCTAATTGACGAAATATTTATTATCATTGATGTATCTTTTATCCTTAATAATTGAAACTAAGAAAAGGTATACAGAGGATTATAAAGAATATCGAATTAAAACATGCTGTTCGTGAAAGAATTCAAATCAATGCATTGACAATGAATGCATTATGCGTTGAGAGAAGTTAGAGAGTGAGAGAGATTGAACACACACGGGGATGTTCGACGAAGCATTCGAAAGACGAATAAGATAATCAATTTTAATACGTTAAACTATGCTCTCGTCTTTCGTACAACGACCTGACCTCATGTTTAATTCCCACCATTTCGTCCACCATGATGAATGGCTGCTGCATAGTCTGATTGTGCTTCAATTTAGTACTTGAATTAATTTATCAAGGAAGATTAATAAATCGCAATTGCTGGTCGAATCGTTGCTGGTAACTTGTTTCATGTATATACTTATATATACAGACATATATAATACTTATATATATATATATAAGTATATAAGTACTTATATACGTATCTGCAATGAGAAACAATAATAGTTGCTGGTAGACGGAGAATACTTGTTCCATCATTTCTAAATTGTTCTTTTATTAACACTAGAACTACCAATAATTTATATACGCCTATTTTTACCAGACCAATCAAAATGATTGATTTCGATATATTTTAGTATTGTATAATATGCTACAAAAAATAAAAAAACATACTATTATATAATTAAATACTTAATTTATACAAATCAATAATAAAATAATATGATAAATGAGATTATGACGGAGTAGAAAATAAAAATAATCTCTCTATGAATAGCTAAAAAAATTAAATTATTTATATCAAAACAAAAAAGAACTTTGATCGTTCGACACGCCTCATCGTTTCTATTTTTATATCTTTTTCCTCTCTCTCTCTCTCTCTCTCTCTCTCTCTCTCTCTCTCCCTTTCTATTTGGCGCAATTCATTGTCAGATGTACAAAGTGCAAAGTGCTAAGTCAGGGTCTAGCCAAGTGAGACTTTGAACTTGCATAATCCGCTATCGGATTTTACATTTCAAAATTGTATCAATAGAAAATCTTTTTTTTTTTTTTGAATAAACAAAATTACTTCAATACACAATTTTTTTATATTAATAAATTAATACTATTTTTAATCTTTTCTAATCTAGAGGTTCCATTAGGATCGACTAAAAAATTCCCATTAAATATCTTATTGCTTATTTTTATTATACCGGATATTGTTCATTTACTCTTCAATATCTTATGAAATATTGTTCATTTACCCTAGTATTTTAGCGGGTACTCAACAACCCAACGAGTCGAATAGCAACAGCAGTAAAATTGAGCTTAAATGATGTTCAATAAATCTTCAACGAGAAGTCACTGCCCTCCTCGTTTTACTTTTACTAACGTCCTCTCTCCGTCTCTCTCTTTCTCTCTCTTACGATGAGACTTTCACTGAGAACAAACAAAAAAATCGATGCACTTCGGCCTCGTAAAACAATAGCAAGTGACTTTCTATTGGATTGGCAACTAAACGAGTGCAGTTACTTTAAAAAAAAACCTATATATTTACCTATAAATTTACAGGGGGGAGGAAGGGAAACGATTACTCGAGTTAAATTGAATGTTTCCTACGCACGTTCTTAATTTTTTTCTTATTTTCTTTTACACTCTCGAACGAATAAAACGAAATAAATAGATAAATAGATAGATTATTTTGGTGTACAAGAATTATTTGAATAATTAAATATTGAATTACAGGTGTGAGTCTAGTAACAAGAAAAATGGGTGCAAGTGTGAATCCAGTCGTAGAACTTACTGAAAGTGACGGAACATATACTTTGAAAACTAACAGCCCTTTCAAAAGTTCCGAAATTAAGTTCAAACTTGGTGAGGAATTTGAAGAGGAGACACCCGATGGTAGGAAAGTAAAGAGTGTTTGCACTTTGGAAGGCAACAAGCTCTTGCACATACAAAAAGGAGAAAAAGAAACCACGATCGAAAGAGAATTCTCGCCGACAGAAATGAAAGCGGTAAATATCTTCTTTTCCTAAAGGAAATGCAATAAAACCTATCGATGGTTTAAGTACACTTGTTTATACCATAACTGATTTAATGACGGGTTTTTAATAGAAATATTGTCTTCGAAATGCGATACGTGTTAAAACACAACACACACGTGAACAAAAATAAAATTATTTCGAGTAATTTAAAATAGATATTAAAAATAATTTGAAAAATTCTATAGAAAATTAATTAAAAATAAATAATAAAACCGGAAATTTTTAAATCTTTTTTTCTTTTTTTGTTACAGGTAATGAAGGTTGATAATATAATCTGCACCAGAGTGTACACCGTTCAGAACTAATATTCTTACGGAATGTCTAAGAAAACTTGGCTGCCCGATTCATACTCTAAACATACTAAGAATTTTACTCATAAAAAAAGCTTCAAATATATATAGGAGATTAAAACTTCTATTTATCCTTTAAGCAATTCAAAAAAAAAAAAAAAACAATTTTCCAAAAGTTCATCTATTATATTATAATGCTAAAAGTTATCTTTTGATAATTAACAACGATATCTACCTTTGAAATTATATGCAAGTATGTAGAGCTAATATGATATTAAAGAAACTTTACTCATTTGATAACAAATGCAAATTTTTGCATAAACTTAAAGAGCTACAAAAAAAAATAGCCCAATATTATTACTAATCGTTTAATGTCTTTAGCACAAAGTAAGCAAACCATTTATTTTGCCACATATTATATGTTTATAAGAAATTGTCATTGTTTTTTCTACCAATAAAAAATATTACTTTAAAAAAGTTATTTTGTTATCTTCCTTATACATGTATAAAATAATATATATTATATATAAAAATAAAAAAAAGGAATCCTTTATTAATATTATTCTTGTTTATCCAGATCTATTACTGGAGAAATCTAAAAAAAAATTAAAGCACACACACATATTTATATAAAAATAATTATTTATATCTACATCTATTATTAACCCCTCGCACTATAACAACGTGTGAGACTCATGGTACATTTTACAGCTCAAACATGAAAAACATGGATCTTACTTGTAGTGAATCTTATAAGTCAAACAAATGAAGCATAAAATAAAGCATAAAATATGGTAAACAACTTCACATGTTAAATCATAGTGCAAAGATTTAATCTAATAAGAATTTTTCTTACATAATACTCCACGTAACTCACACTGCCTTCATCAGTTTTGATCATGTATTGAAAACATAATAATCCACAAGTGTCCGTTCTTAAAGATACTTTATAAGCGGGAGATAATGCTTTCATTGCTGGCTTAATATGTGCTAACTTATATTTAGTTGTAGCTGCAGTATTACATTTAAAATTTTCTATCAGATCTCCATCATGAGGTAGTTCGATATGACATATGCCAGCTAACCCATTAGTGCTTATTCTAAAGAACGGTTCCTCGGGAGACAATAATAACTAAGATCATAAAATATTAATATTCTAATTTTTTAGATTAAAACAAATCATTTCATACAATTGTGAACCTCTATCCATATAATTTACCTCTATTATCTCACTCGTTGGATCAAGTTCATTCAAAATATCCTTTAATAATTCTGTTTTTAACACGACTCTACTATAAACGTTCTCTTCTTCTAAATGAAAATCTAATAAACTTTCTGGATTCTGAGTTTTCAACGAACAATCTGTTATAACACCATTTTCTTCAATAAGTATGCTCAATGGATTACCAGTACCCTGGGTAAATGAAAATTAATGTAACTATCAATTACTATGAAAGAATAAATTTTTCTATATTTCCAAAAAATAATTTCATACTTTATAAAAAAGTTCTATGGCAACGTAGTTTCCTGATATATTTATATTACTCGAGAACATACAAAGACATTCGACGAGAATATTTATATTTATTTTGAAAATAAGGTCCTCTTTTAAATAATATTCTACAAAAAGAGGTCTTGAAATGTAAGCATTTGCTTGCATACATTTGGCATCTTCAACGGTTATTTTTAATCCGTTTTCTGTAGCGAAACATGTAGCATTCTAAACACAAATATAAGAAATAATCTAGACTCAAAGATTGTATCTACAAACAAGATATATGTTATACGTATATATTTACCTCTTTGAAATTTACTGCTTTTAATAAATTAACTACTGTCTTAAGATTACCTAATTTAGCCATTAATTTATAGTCATTTATATTAGCTGTCTGCATGATTACAAAAAGATTGATACAATAAAAAATGTTGAAACTGTTGCGAGGTAATTTGTTGATACAATAATTTTTCCTTATCGATTGTAGCTAACCAACTGGCTAAAACGTGTTTACAAGTAAATATTACTCTATTATCTATTACTTGATTCCTAAAATAAAGATAAGAGATAAAGATAATCTCATTACGATATTTAATCATATAATAGGTATTATACCTGAACGAAAGACATGTACAAAAATTTATTTCAGGGAAAAGTGTATATATGGATCCTGAAAAACCTTTTACTTGTAACAACCAACGAGCATTATTTCTATTATAGCAGTCTCCTTTAACGATTGGTGCTGACGAAGAGATATGTGTTACACGTCTTTCTTCGTACAACTCTAATGCCCTTTCAAACACCGTACCAAAAATATTATATAAATTTAACAATATTTTATCTGAAACTTTATATTATCATTTAGATTATATTTATTATAAAAATTTAATTAAAAAAAATAACTTTCTGTGTTTATTTTCTAACATTTTAATTTGTAAAACACTTACATTTTCCGCTCTTTTCAAAATCTTCGACTGATTCTTTTAACAAATGATCTACAATATCATTATATTTTACACTATATGGGTTAGGTGTAAAATCTTTTATCAATGGTTTTTTATCAGAATCCATTAAATGAAGTTTTTATATAACTAATAAACTATTAAACAATAATTTTTATAAATGAACATTAATAATGTTATATTTATAAAATTCTGATCATTTATAGAGCTTTTAACACTTTGAAATACATCACAAGAGACTGAAAATGACATCTAACCTATAAATGCATACAACCATACATCTTAGGTGATGTGAATTTAATACTATCTTCTACAGAACCCATGATATAACAAGATGCCAAAGATTATAATAAAAATATCAATTCCATACAAAAATAATTACTATTCCTAATAAATGTACTCGCTATCAGCAAACTTAATAAAAAATAATCTATAAAATATATCAATTACTACATACCACTGAGAAAATTAATTTCTCCTTCTTCTCTCTCTCTCTCTCTCTCTCTCTCTCTCTCTCTCTTTCTTTCTACCTCTTTCTCTTTTTATTACGCTTTGCTGTATTATTAAAAAAAGAGATAGGCGTACCTGTATGCAACGTATGCAACGTATGCAACGAATGCAACGTATGCAACGAATGCAACGAATGCAACGAATGCAACGAAGAAAGAAATAATAAATACAATCACAAAGTTGGATGTTTTCTTGCTATTCTCTTCCAATGCTTGGAAATCTGTGAAAAATAAAATTACATTAGTATTAAATAAGGAAAATTGAATCTACGAGTGTGCATATAATATGCATACGTATACATGTGTATATGAATTACCCATACTGCATCTAGATGCATATATATATTTATTAGAGAAAATTATTCATTAAAATATTAGTAAAAACTTAAATTAGAATATCATCGTATCATGAAAATAAAAATGCAACATCAAAAAATATGTTTTTTTATATCACGTTAATGGCTTGGCGGAACACCGGAAAATAAAATGTCAAATATCTTATAATTTTGACAATATCTTTATTTGATAACACGGTTTGCGTGAAAATTATGGATGCAGCTATCAATTGATATATAATTTGAGGGTGCATATTAGAAAAAACTATTAATTACCTGAAAATGTGTAATTCCAGCGATGCAATTCACGTTCCACCAAAGCACAACAAACAAATGACAAACGAAATCATTTTCGCGGGTTGGCGCATGCGTATTACACCATCCTCACAAAAGACAAACGAAATAAATTTCGCGGGTTAGCGCATGCGCATTATACCATCCTCACAAAATACAAACGAAATAAATTTCGCGGGTTAGCGCATGCGCATTATACCATCCTCGATGTATTCCTAGTAATAATGTTTTTGTTTATAATTAGTGAATAGAGAACAAAATAACATAGAAAAGTACATATAGAAAAACATTCCCCACGACTAGCTAAGGTGGTTAGGAGGGGAGAGGTGACTTATACGTACCGTACATCTTATTTCATTTTCGGACGGCGTCGAGACAAGTAGAAACTAGTTACGTTATGGTAAGGAGTTTATTACTGCGTAATTAAGTAATATTTTATTATCGTAATTAAATAATTGTTATAATCTAATCAAATCTCATTTGATTTACAGGTTCATGCAGTTATGATCGATGGTGCGAATGTATTGAAATTAGGTAAGAAGATTTGTAATTAGAATTATATGATCTTAAATTTTTCTATGGTTTCACACAAATTTTTACCATAATCTGTCATTCTTTTTATGGTTTCAGAAAAGCGTATGCAATCATCCCATTGTTTCAAAAAGCCGTTCACCATCGTTTCATGGAAATTATACTAATCAATGGTGGAATACTGGTACAACTGCATACATATACGTGCAAGTACATTTATTTATTTCCTTTCTTTCATATTAAAATGGATCTCCGACGCAGCAACCTCCCCGTGGTGAGATCCGGTAACCGATATTGCTTACGGTGTCCATGGAATTGATATGGTTCAACATAAGCACTGTCGGGCCAATGGCTGACGTTCGATGCATTAGAAAATTTTAACTTCTCGTTTTATTAATTAATTCTAATGCAAGAGAAATGACTTATTGAATTAATTCTTTAATCACGCGTTGCAATTGTTGTTTTAATTTTATATTTCTTATATTATATTATATTAAATTCACATAAATAATTCAAGACACACGTTTAATCGATTCTATAATTAATTATTCAAATAATTATATATAAATATTGTACCTTGTGTTTAGTTTTACATTAATGCTATATCTATTTTTTACTATAGGTATTAACGCAATTGGCATACTTCTGTAAAAATAATCCTAACGTGATTAAATTTATTTCTTGAAAGATAGAATGCAACGCGATATTTTCTCGTTTGTATTTTATCTTAATTTTTTTATGTAGCTTACAAGTTTGTGGTTACATCTATTGAATATTTTTTTATTAATAATTAAAGCATACAAAAAATAGTAGCACGATTCCAGAATTTTTGGAATACGTAGTTTAAAAAATTGAATTATAAAACAATTAATATCTTTTTTATTAGTAACATAATAAATAAACAGAAGTACGCTACGACTTGCTTTAACAAAACTTTGATTTTCAGAGCTTCAGTTGCGATTGCGTGCAATGCAATTGTAGAGTCAGTGTTTGTTTCGAAAAATGATGCATTTTTTGTATGCAATCGCATAGATTGCTTTAAAAATAATTCAATCATAATTTAAAATCAATGCAAGAATTTGTTATAATATTCTTGTTAAAAAAACAATTTGCTCGGTACGCGATTAGAATCATTAACACACTTTCGGCCAATTCGGTAGAAGAGGAATTGCGTTTCGATTAAAAAATTGTCATGGTCGAAAGTGTGAATTAAAATATCTTCGTTTCTTCTGGATCATCTTTATCAACGAATCT